AAAAAAAACCCCAAAAAACATTATGCTACTGAGTCAGAGAAAAAGAATGCAAGCTATTAAAGAAAAGGTTTTAGGGCTAAGGAGATAGCTCAGTAGTCTAACCACCTGTCCGGCAAGCACAAGGACCTAGGTTCAATTCCCAGAAGTACATGCCATGGTGGTCCTGGAAAGCTGGCATACTGTGTTGACCACCAAAAAGGGTGTGGTGGTGCATGGCTGTAAACCCAGTGCTGGAGAGGCTGAGACAGGAGGATCACTGAGTTCAAGCTGAGTAGTGAGATGCTGTACCAAATAAATAGATTAAAATAAACAAAATTTTAAAAAGGGAAAAAACTTTTGTTTTGCCTCAGGCTGCCTTAAGGGTGGGTCTAGGAAAAATCGTTTTTAATTTCATCTGCCCAGCACAATGTGGGGAAAAAATAAAGCAGCAAGGCTGGAGTTCGGGTGCAGCTCAGTGGCAGAACATATGCTTAGTATGTACAAGGCCCTACATTGAATCCCCACCACCATTAAAAAAATAAAAGATATGAAGTAGGCTATGGTTACATAATAAAGATGGATTTTACCCAAATCTATCTGAAACTTCTTGAAAATGGAATGGAAGAATAGAGGATAGGAAAGTAAACCAGCCTAGGAGAGTCTAGTGCTCATGATGGGTGAACATCTTTGCAATCTGTTTACTCCTCTGACCTTTGTTTCCCCCATGTGGTCAACAGGAAAAATGGCTTTCCAGCATCCACTTCCTGTCTGAGTTATATCGGTCAGGTGACTGAAGAAGCTGTGGGTCTCAAAGAAAAGTGCTTTACAAATAAGTATCTGATTACTTGTGGTCAGCCACAAAATATGAAAATATTAAAAGCAATAGCAGGTTTCCTACAGAAAGTAATATACCAAAGTTAGCGCAGCCACCCCACCTATTTCCTAAGTTTCTTTTATGGAGCACAAAGAAGAAAATGATTAGGATATTTGCAGTTATTAAATTAGGTAGTAGATCCAGGAAATGCTTGTTGGCTTAGTAAGTGTATATATTCCAGTCTGCACCAGCAATGCTGCTGGTCCATACACTTCATGTCACTTCTGCTTTGAAAAAGTCTTTCTCTGGAAATAGCTCAAATAAGGCAAAGAGATCCTTCTGAAGGTTCTGCCCTCCCCAACACATGAACAACAGTAAGATGGTATTTTTTACAGTGTAAACAAAGGAGCTGACAGTGGTCAGAGAGCACTGATGGCCAAGGGAGAGATAGTTTGTCCTGAGAAGTGCAGCCAGTAGCTCACAAATGAAATTCTATAGTCTTTACAGACACAAATAGCTACACTACCAGTGAGAAATAGCTAATGGGCTATTTTGAAGAACAGAGTGAGTGGTTGGTGTTGCTCTGGGACTTACATAAACCCAAAATACTCCTTCCAGTTGTTTTTTCACCAAACCAAAAACCAGTAAGTTATGTAATAATGCTAAAAAAGAAAAAAGAAAACACTGTAGCTTGAACATTTCTTTTTTATTTTTTTTTTAAATTTTATTTATTTATGTGTGTGTGTGTGTGTGTGTGTGTGTGTGTGTGTGTGTGGCCAGCTCAGCCCACCAGGGGGCAGGGCTGGCTGGCATGTGGTGCTGGGGGATTGAACCACGGTCCCTGTGGTTTGCTAAGCTTGTTCTAAGTAGGTGCTTTAGACCACTGAGCCACCTCACCAGCCCAGAACATTTCTTTTAAGCACAGCCATAAGGGAATATATACGGTAAATAAGATACAAGTCTGACACACATTTAATTAAATCAAAACAAATTCTCATCTTTTGATGCTGGATGGACAGATAAGGATTTGACATTTCTTTGGGATATTTAAAAATCAAGAGTGAGCCTTGTACTGCAGCACGTGGCAGCACTGAGGGAAGCTGAGACAGGAGGAACATTAAGTTGATGTCCTTGGCAATTTAGCAAAACCTTGACTCAAAAATAAAAATAAAAAATGAAAGTAAAAAAGACTGGGAGGTTTTGATCCCTAGAACTGAAAAAAAAAAAAGATGACTTTATTAAACATTTTTTTCTCACATTTAATTTTTTATTTTGATTTTTTAATGCTGCACAACACAATATTTATTTCATTTATTTATTATTTGTGTTTGCTGCTGTTATTTTAGTTATTGAAAGTGAGAGGGAACTTTTGTGGCCTTTTTCTGTAGGCTGCCTTAAGCTGTTAAATTTGGAACATCTAAGCAAGCAGAAGGGAAAAGGGGGTTTTACAAAAATCACTTACGGGACAGGAAAGGATGTTTTGTTAATCATGCCCTACGATGGGTGATTAACTGCTTGTAAATTACACTTCACTTTTAATTAATTGTGCTTAAGGCTCTCATTAAGGTTGACGTTCCCTTCTTAAAGCAGCTGGTACTGAGGAATTTGCATGTGCTGGATGATGTCAAGGCAGTCACTGAACACACGGCGGATGTTTTCAGTGTCCTCAGCGCAGGTAAAGTAAGGGTGGCAATAGTGGCGCCCATCTCCACTAGCAGTGCTGACTCTCAGAAACTCATCTTTAATGAAGTACTCGGCCTGGGTCACGCGTGGGTCCTCTCCGGGCTTGGGAGTAGCGTCCTCAGGAGTAGTGTAGAGAGCAAATTCTGGAAAATAGTCCTCAATTTTCAATTTCCCAGCAAGGATTTTCTCAGCGAGCAGATCTTGCTTGTTGAAGAACAGAATCACAGAGATGGTACATAGCCATCTGTTATTCCAGATGCTACTGAAGGAGGTTCAGAGCCTCCTGCAGGCGGTTGGTCTGGTAGAACGGATGACCATGTTGTAGCTGCTGCTGGCCACCACAAAGATGACGGCAGTCACATCACTGAAGCATTGGATCCACTTGTGGCGTTCATCGCACTGGCCGCCCACGTCGAACATGTGGAAGTTGACTTTGTCCACCTGGAACTTGGTCTCAAAGATTCCAGAGGTCAGGACACAGCAGCGAAGCAGGTCCTGGCCGCTGGGTACATAGTCGGCCTGCTTGATGACATCAATCTTGTCCAGAAAGTAGTGGGCACAGTTGATCAGCTAGTACTCGCTGGAGCACTCATAGCAGACACAGACTCCTTCGTCCTCCCAGAGAGCTCAGAATGTAGTCCACTCTGAACTGGTTCTCTGGGCTGGCCAGCTCCACGAGGGGGGGCACCAGGTTACTCATGGCGGCCACGATGGTTTCAATAGCCTCTTTCAGGTTGTTTTTGATGTCCTATACTTTGGTGGCCTTCTCACCATCACTGTTGCTCCTTGCAGCCTTCGGTCCTCCTTGCTGCCCTCTCCATTAAACTCATTAACATGCAGGATCCTCATTTGCTTCACAATGGTGCTTTTACCAGATTCTCCAGCACCCAGCAGCAGCAGGTGGTGTATGGCCTGGCAGACCTGCTTGTCCTTCTGCAGCTGCTTCTTAATCTTTTTTTTTTTTTTTTTTTTTTTGCGGAACTGAGGATTGAACTCAGGTCCTTGTGCTTGCCCGGGAAGCGCTTATTCCACTGAGCCATCTCTCCAGCCCCTCTTAATCTTTTTGCTGGCCTCGCGCTGCACCTTCTCCTCGTTGTGCTGGTCCTAGGTCTTACTGTTTCTGAGGCAGCCCATGGCTGCGGGGCCTGGCGCGGGCGGGTGGGCGGCCTCCAGAGGGCCGAGGCAGCGCCCAGCGGGCTGCGGAGTGCACAGCTCCCCACCCCTTGAGCTGAGGCCGAGGGACAGAAGGCCGCCCCGGGGCCTAGGCGGTGCAGAGCAGGAGCTGTGGGAGCTGCCGCCGCCGCCACCACCACTCTTATTCTTTATTAAACTTTTAAATAGATTTGCTACTGTAGCAAACTTTTGCAATAATAGATGAGTGATAGCTATACTGGGTATGAATTCGAAGAGGATGGTGACAATATCTAAAAACTTGAAGAAAAATACAAAAATACCTTGGTACCCTGGGAAGGAAATGCTTCTTCAAAATCTACCAGGATTTGCTGTCCTAACTCAGTCTGTGCAGCCTTCACTCTGTCAGGAAAAGAGAACATATTATTGCTTGGTGTAATCTTCAAATATCTGTAAGTAGTTATATGCCTAATCTCCAAAAATCCAAACTGTTGAAATGTTTAGAAATCATCCAGCTAATCCAGCAAGGGAGAAGGTGATGTGCCTGGAGAAGTCACCAGCTAGTACATTACTGACCAGGACCCAGGGACCCAATTTATTCTCACAATGGATTTTCTAAATCCCCAAAATGCTGCTAGGCCACCCTACCTGCTGTAAAGCAGTGCATAGTAATCTCTCCAATATTTCATTAAGGGGCAGCTATGCTGTGGAAAAAAAACATTATATGACAGAATTGAAACCAAACATAAATCCATGCTGTATAAATCCATGCAGTACTAATGACTTAACTGCTTCCTGCTCCATGAGGTATGAAATGGGAAGAGGGTGTTAAACGCTCCAGGGTGGCATTTTTGCTTTAACCCAGAAACCAAACACAGGATCATAAATTTTTAATCAAATAAACAACAAATAGTCTCCAAAGTATAAAGAAAAAGAACAAAATGACTAAATGAACTGCTCATCAAGAATGAAGTCCACTGAGTAAAGATTTAAGTTCAGGACACTGTCAATAGGAAGGCTGAACCAGTTAGAAAAGGGAGGCTGGTACTTAATGGTGGTTTGCATGTATATCAAAGCTCAGGAAGTATCTGACAGTTTGAATGAAAGAGGAGAAAAGAAAACAGCAAGGATGAGACAGGAACTACGCATCAACAACCCCTGCAATCAGTCATGTCCTCCACACCTCCCTCCAGCTGCCTGACATTGCTGATGCCTGGATTACTCGAGCCAGTCTCTCAGCTAGGGTAGAGCTAGCTGTGAGGCAGCTGTTCAACTGCCTTGAGCTTCAAACAAATATTCTATCTTTACTAAAAAGTACTGTAAACTTGCCTGCCTCCTTTCTTAGTCTCCACCCTGTTACTTCTGGATCAACTTTATGAAGTTTCTAGAAATAGTGAACAACTCAAAACCCACAATTTCTTTGGTCACTAAGGAGCATCTGGCATTGTGCTGAGATTTTTTTGTTTGTTTTATTTTTTAATGTGGGGATAGGCATCGCCCAAAATGGTCTGGGTTTTTTTTTCCCCCCCTGTGGCATAGTTATAATTATTCTTCATCCAAATACTTTCTAGGTTCTTTTCACTATCTTCAACACTTTTCAAGTTACTTGGATAGGTGTGAGTTTGTAGTCTTTTCAATTAGTTTTTAAGGGGACAGAAATGATGCAGGTAAAGCTGTGTGGGAACAGCTACTCAAAACAGTCAGAGCTGCCCACTTCAGCCACTCAACAAAGAAAAAAGTCTCTTTAGTGTGAACTCTGACATAAGAGAAAAGAACAGCTTCATAAAAACCATCTCTAGAGCATCTTGTGACTCTCACAAGATGAGCCAGCAGACGGCCTCCTGCAGTGCCAGGTCACAAGACCTTCCAGAGGCTCAGGCCTGTCTGTTCCTATCCTTGTTTTGTAAGCACACAGAGCAGCATTTCCTTCATAAGCCACGGGGGAAAGCCCCACCCTTGGCCAGCCACGTTCCTGACTGCATCATCAGGGCTATTGACCACTTTAGTGACACTAATGGATTTAGCTCTACCTCCATCATGCTCACCCCATCCTCACCATTTCCAACCTCCATGTTTTTACTGTGACACTGAAATGGCCGAAAAGACAACCAGAGGTTATATTAGAGCTTGATATTGCCAGAATACAAAAGACAGGGAATTACCAGATACTGGTTTATAATGACCTTTAATGTATAGTCAAAGTTACAAAAAACAACAACAAAAAAGTTACCTGTTGAGAAAGGCAAAACTTAGCTGTGCCACTAGTAAGCCTTGTGTAATCCTACATCATTTCCTCTACATGGGCCAAAACTAAGAACAGTTATGGATAAGAGGGTGAGGCTAGAGCCCTGTCTTATATGACTTCAGTGTCTACTTCAGTACTGATTATTCCACAACAGCTATCTCACGGTACTAAGTGGCCATAGCATCCATCTTCACAGGTGGCTATGGCAGGATATACAATTAATGTTCAGGTAGAAGAATAAGCTTCTGCCTAGAAATATTTGCAGCAGCAGTTTCTGAAGTATCTATCAGTAATTCTGACTGAAAAGCAACCATCCCCTTTTTGACATTATTGATAGTATTTATAAACCAAACCACAACCTCATGGATTTTCAGGTTGAGGAGTGAACTGTACCTACAATCAATTACTTAAATAAGACCCTAGAAATAAGTCAAAGATTTAAAAGAATATATGTTTAGCCTCACTCCTTTAACTTACTTTCTCTTGTAACCATGATCCTACTCTAAAGAGAAGGATCAAAAGAGTCTTGAGCAGAGCAAATACATGAGTTGAACTACCAGGATTTCCCATTCATTCTTAGGGAAGTCGGCCCACAATGCTTAGAGAATGCGAAGAATACAAGTTCCTCCTGGCATCCAAATAACTCAGCTTGCTGTGTGGTGGCAGCTCAAAGTTGGCTATCCTTAGGAAATGAAAGACTCACTGTGCTGCCTAGAAAGGAAAATCAACCAGTGATTTCTGGCATCCAACATGCTATGTGACATCAACATTGTCCAAAGGTGCCCTAATATGTTAATAGTTTTTTTTCTTTTCTTTTTAAAATGTATTTAGTACAGGGTCTACAGGGTCTCACTACACAGATCAGACTCCTAGTGATCCTCCTGTTTTCAGCCTCCCAAGCACTGGGATTACAAGCGTGCACCACCACGCCCAGAATGCATCCCAGGGGTGCCATAGGTCCTTGAACCAGTCCCTGTGCCTAAGCAGATGATTTAATCCGCTGAGCTATCTGTTGCCAGCCCTAACAGTTCTTTTCAAAGAGTAGTGGCAGAGGGGCTTCTCATTATGAAAATAATTTAGACATTTGTAGATAAAATAACACTGACACTTTTGTTATCTTTGTGCATCTCAAAAAAAAAAAAAAAAGCATTCAGCAGTTTTCAAATGAATATACTGACCTTCTAAGTACAATCTGTACTGAACAAAAGGGCTAACAATAGACACAAAAGTTCAGTGGGCTCTAAAGAATCTCAACCTAGAAGAGTGACTCACTGGGACATTTTTTAAGTCATCAAAAACAACTCTCACAGTACTAAACTGAGGAAGACACCCAGAAAAGTTTTATCAAATAGCTATTCAGGCCTGCCCATTTCCTAGTTTCACTGTTTCTTCATTTTACCATGTTATTTCTAAGAAGCCAAACTTCTCTCACTAGAGGAGGTTAGACAATGCTCTGATAAATACATTTTAGTTCAAGAGTTTCAAGGTTTTCCAGAGAATGAAAGAATCTTCCATTCTTTCTCAGAAAATATTGACTGACTAGAAACATTTGCTTGCCTGGATCTAAACCAGGAGGATTTGAAACGTAAAGATATTTCCTTCAACGCTACATTAAACATGTGAGCATTTGCCAGAAGGGTAGTTGGAAGAAATAGCAAATCAAGACCCATGAACTTCATATTTCAAATGTACAGGCAAACATTTCGTATGACTTCCACGATTTATGGTCAGCATAATATTATATTGGAGAAACTGAAGCAGTGCACAGGGCGCAACTCTTCTACCTTCTCCATTCCCTCCTAACAAACAGCTATTTCTATCATTTCCAGATGGTTCTGCCATCATTATGTAAACATAAGGGAGGAAAATTCACCAGAAATGATACTAAAAATAAGAAGTCTGGACTTCCCTCAAACTTTTAATACCTCTTAAAAACTTATTTTAGTCAAGCACTAAAAACAAACTTTCTCATCATCATTGTGTTTAATGCTATTTTTTTTTAAATTTTTTTTTTACATTTATTTATTTATTGTGTGTGTGTGTGTGTGTGTGCGTGTGTGTGGCCAGCTCAGCCCACCAGGGGGTGGGACTGGCTGGCATGTGGTGCTGGGGGATTGAACCATAGTCCCTGTGGTTTGCTAAGCTTGTTCCAAGTAGGTGCTTTAGACCACTGAGCCATCTCACCAGCCCCTGTTTAATGCTATTTAATAGCACATATTCTATCACACATAAGATTGCTGCACATAGAGGATGTGAAATTAAAGGACAAGTAAATCCTCCTGTTTTTAGCAGCTTTATATGATAATGAACATATAGGGGACTGAAATATATTGATGAGATGTTGGATTTTATTCTTTCTTTTCTTTTTTTTGAGACAGGGACACACTATGTAGCTCAGGCTAACCTTGAACTCACAGTGATCCTCCTGTTTCAGGCTCCTGAGTGCTGGGATTAGGTGAGCGCTACCAAGCCTAGTGGGTTTTCTTTTCTAAGGGAATGTCATTATAAGTGATTATAAAGTTCCTTCAAATTTATAAAATTATATTTTATAAATCTACTACAAGGTCGGAGAGATAGCTCAGCAGACTAAGACCTGCTTAGGCAGGCGCAGCAGGGACCAGGATTTGATCCCCAGTACCATATGGAGTGTGGGTCCAGTCCCCAGGCACGTTGAACTGGCCACCAAGACCAAGCATGGTGGCACTGAGGAGGCTAAATACAGGAGGATCACTATGAGTTGGAGCTGCATAGTGAGATCCTGTACCAAATACATTAAAAAAAAGAAAGCTACTACAAAGCAAAAAGCACATCAAAAGCACAGACAGGAAATTAAAAATAACTTAGTGAGACTATATGAAACTAAAAAGTGAAATGATACAAAAGAATGAAGCCTATGGATTGAGAAAAAAATATTTGGGAATTGTATTATGTGCCAAAGTTCAATATCTAAAGTATATAGGTGGGCTGGGGTGATAACTCAGTGGCTTAAGCACCTGCCTAGCAAACACAGGGTCCTAAGTTTGATCCCCAATAACAAGTAAGAAAAGAAAAGAAATAAGTATATAAGGAGCTCATACAACTCAACAGCAAAAAAAAAAAAAAAACAAAAAACAGCCTACTTAAAAAATGGGCAATAGAGCTCAATACATATTTTTCC